TGGGTGTTGAGGTCCATGGCTATGTGTTCTCCAAAGATAGGGCTGATACGATGAGAAATGGGGCAGGAATGGGCAAAATGGGGTGTGGGAGGAGGCCTCTACCTCAACCTCTACGTGCCCACCAAGAACGGTACAGCCGGAAACGGGGGGAAAATGGGGGAAAAATGGGGCAGAAATGGGGCGGTTGGTTGATGAGGTCCATGGCTACGTGCTCTCCAAAGATGGGGCTGATAGGAGGAGGAATGGGGCAGGAATGGGGCAGTTGGGTGATGAGATCCATGGCTATGTGTCCACCAAAGATGAGGCCGATACAATGAGAAATGGGGCAGGAATGGGGTGGTTGGGTGCTGAGGTCCATGGCTACGTGTCCTCCAAAGATGGGGCTGATATATCGAGAAAAGGGGCAGTAAAGGGCAAAATGGGGTATAGAAGGAGGCATCAACTTCAACTTCTGTGTGCCCAATGGGAATGGTAGGGCAGGAAACAGGAAAATGGGGCAGGAATGGGGCGGGAATGGGGTGGTTGGGTGTCGAGGTCCATGGCTACGTGTCCTCCAAAAATGGGGCTGATACGATGAGAAATGGGGCAGGAATGGGCAAAATGGGGTATGGGAGGAGGCCTCTTCCTCAACCTCTACGTCTCCACAAATATGGGGTGATATGGGGAGAAATGGGGCGGGAATGGGCAGGAATGTGGTGGTTGGGTGACCAAATCCGTAGCTACGTGCCCACCAAAAATGGTGCCGGTTTGGGGAGAAACAGGGCAGAAACGGGCAAAACGGGGTATGGGAGGTGGCACCTCCATAGTGTTGTGGCCTCCAAGGACCGGAGGGAAATGGGGAGAAATGGGGGGAAAATGGGCAAAAATGGGGCAGGGGAGGCAACGTCTGCACCTCGGGGTGCCCCCACAGGACGGTAGGTGCCAAAATGGGGGAAATGGGGAAAAACGGGGGGAAATGGGGAAAAATGGGGGAAAAATTGGGACGGGGGGAGCAGGTCTCCATGGGGGTGGGGGAAGCGCCCGGACGCCTGGGCCCCGGGGGGCCCCATGTCCCTCTGTCCTCCCCGCTCCAACCTTCGTCCCTGTGTCCTCCATCATCCTCCTCCTCCATCATTCTCCTCCTCCATCATCTTCCTCCTCCATCATCTTCCTCCTCCTTCATCTTCCTCCTCCTTCATCTTCCTCCTCCATCATCTCCCTTCTCCATCATCTTCCTCCTCCATCATCTCCCTTCTCCATCATCTTCCTCCTCCATCATCTCC